CTTTAATAACTACTAGAGTTTCTAAATACAAATAGTACATATGGGGGTCTTATGAGTATGAGAGATTGGAGATACAAAAACAATTTGAAGCTCTAGTTGTATTCTCTCTTAGAAAATCATTCCTCTTTGTAATATTAGTATGCAAATAGAAGTATGGGGGTAAGATATGGGAGATACAAGAACAATTTGAAGCTTAATTTCTATTATTTTATCTTAACAAATCTTTCCACTTTATAATATTAGTATGCAAATAGAAGTATGGGGGTCTTATAAGATACAAAAACAATTTGAAGCTTAAATTGTATTATTTTCTGTTATCAAATCTTTCCTCTTTATAATTTTGTATACAAATAGAATTGTGGGGGTCTTTTAAGATATCGGAGATACAATAACAATTTGAAGCTTAAATTGTATTCTTCTCTCTTAGGAAATCTTTCCACTTTATAATATGTATTTGTATACAAGTAGAAGTATGGGGGTCTTATGAGATATGGGAGATACAAAAACAATTTGAAGCTTAAATTGTATTCTTTTCTCTTAGCGACTATTATTCTCGATCAGAAAGAACGGCTTATATCAGTAAAGTGGTCAGGAAATCTGATCGTTTGCCTCATTGTGCCGCATGGTGAGGCAGCCCCAGCAGGCTGCCATGCTTACTCATGCGCACTTGCCAACTTAATGTGTGCGAATCACGGCCGACGGTTTGGCCGACCACATAGGAAAAGCCACTGCGTGTATCGATTACCAAAGCTAATGAGCGCCAACTTTAGAACTTTTCCGGCCAGCGTTTAAAGAAAACGCAACAGTGCCTGGGCCTGCCACACACGAGCTTAGCTTCAACAGTGCATCGTGGTATCATGGGTACAAAAATGGCTTTGAGCTGCCGCTGGTGCACGAACACCCACTCACAGATCACAGCTGGCCACATACTCGTATCTGGCTTTGGCTGTTTAAGGCCTCTCAGCGTCTGCGTCAGCCAGTCTACAAATTTGCTAAATAGCCTCCCGGTTATTGCACCAAGACGAGGTGCAGCCCTGGCTGCAATCATCGAGGCCTTTGTCGCCACAATCACACAATAGACCTGCCTCGGTTGCCGATGCTGCTGCACTGCATCCAGCACAATCATCAGAACCCAGTCACGTTTGCTTCGTTCGTTGCGTGGATGCCACTTATGTCGCCATCTTAGCAATCGTCGTCGCCGTTTCGCGACGTGATTGAAAAAGTTCATTGAACGTTGTACAATTTATTTGCAGCATTTGTTGTTGTTCGTCTGTTCGTTTGTACGTTTGTTCGACTGTCTGCACGTCTGCATGTCTGCATGTTTGTTCGCTTGCTTGTTTGTTTATTTATTTGCTCTCTCGCCTCACATTGCCCCGCATTTGGTGTTGCATTCTCACCCAGCTAATGCACATGCGCGCAGTTGTTTGTTGTCCCGTTGCCGTTTCTACGAACACGACTCCATACAGTCCATACAGAAGTCGACAGAAGTCGGATCTAGTGCCGCAGCTACGGCTGCCTTTTGTTGCGCTATTGTATCTATGCATGCATGTACATGTATTTATGTATCTGTCATTGTTTGTGTGAGCAGCAATATTTTTATAGAACTTGCCCAGATTAGCATAAGGCGTGCAGCAAGTACACAAATGATCACGCCAATATATTCAGTTTAGCACTGCTAATTATAAGTAGTGTTATAAATAATGTGAGGTAAAGAATATACTTCTATCTGTTTACAATTCTGTTTTATATAAGAATACACGTTCTCTAAGGTTATCAACTAATATAATATATATATACTATGTAGATGTATATTACAGATAGATATAGATATATATTACAAGTTATCAACTAATATAATATATATATACTATATAGATATATATTAAATAATATATAATATATAGATTCAGAGCTGCACCGTCAATCTTTGATTGAGAGGATATCAGTATGCACAAACGTATATTGGTGATAGTTCAGATACAAATTAGAGACTAAATTTGTATATTTGTAAACTTCGTTATGTATTATATTTTTATACCCTGTACCCAAAGAGCAAAATGGGTATATTAGGTTTGTGCAAAGTATCTTACAAAGTATCTACATTTACCAAACTTGCTAAGAAGACTCTCCTAATCTCCTTACCTCATAAGTATTAAATAATTATCGACTTTGTTTTCTAAAAACCATTAAATTCGGGTTTTTCTAAAAAAAATATTAGCAATAAATGTTACTTCAGTACTGTGCCGATAAACTGCAACTTCGACTTCGCACTTTTTCGTCTTCTATTTCTTTAGTAGGAAAAGCACACACTTATAAATTAGAATCTATCAGATTTTATAAATTTATAATTTCATAAATTAATTCCCTAATAAGGCGATAAGGTGTCACAGAATCCTTTTCCGTCCCTATGATGGTGACCTGTACTGTGAAATATATGCATAAAGTATGTATCTACGAGTAATTGACTGTATTTGCATGGAGAGCCGCGTAATTTCCTGCCACAAATCATAGCATTGTCGTAGCTCACTTGCCAGTCGTACATAGTTGAATATAAACGTAAATACTACATATAGTACATACATATATAGGTGTAAGTATGTACGTATGTACGTGTATGTATTTATATGCAGCAGGCTTGGTTAGCTACGATCAAAAAGGAGAAAGGAAAACTGGAATACTGACCATATTTTATTGAATATTAAACATTAAATTAAAAGAATCATGCGTCTACATATGGGAAGGGATTGACCAAACTTGGTGTGTAGACTCTATTAGCAGGAGCTTATTTATCCTTCTCCCACTACGGATTTCCGTCAATAATATGTTTTAAATATAATTTAAATTATTTAATTCTAAGAAAAGAGAGCTAGAAAGAGTTATAAACGGCACAATTCTGATTGCTAATCCAATAAAAAAATATAACAGAAGATATACAACAGGGTGGTTTTTGGGAAAAGGACATTTCACTTTCGGGCTTGCGAAAAAGTGTTCTGGGAAAAATAAAAATAAAAAACAACTTGAACAAAGAATATTTTAAACTTAAATTCATTACATTCTGAACAAATGTCTGTGGTTTAACTGGCTCGTTATAACTGAATTCATTATTTTATTGGAATAAAAATATAAATTATTTCGCGTTATTACGCCGTAGAATATTATACAAGTTCTACTTATAATGTTAAGGTACTTCAGTACTTAGAAATTAAGTAATGAGTTTTGAGTTTGGTTTCTTCACAATAGAATTAATGCAACTCATAACGTACTTGAAATCTCCCTTAATGGACTCCTCTGTTATCCAGACACTCTGTTCGGCGGACACTTTTTCTAAAACATTCCATCGGTGAATAAAGTATTTAAGTATCCCCTTAAGTGGACACTCTTTTTGGGCCAAGAGAGTTTTCACTGTACTATAAAACAGGACAAGGATAGCACTCACAACAAACATGAAGTTAAAGGTTAAAACCACACATACGAGGTATTGAGAATAACCTAGCTTTTTAATTGAATAGCCCTTCTGCAGTCGCGTTTTAGTTTGTTAAATTAAGAACATATTCGAGAGACTTAATGAAAGTTTACCCCGTCAAGTCGCCTTATTATTGAGGAACATTTTGCTTTCTCTGATAGAACATTTTTAAAGCACCAGCTCTCCATCATCATTCCATATTGCACAAATACTGACGCAATTAAATTACGTGAACACATTTTTATGATAGCAAGAACAGATCTTTAGCATGTAAGAGCGTTCCTCCAGCAACTTAAGGGGAGACTTTATTTTTCCGATCGTGACTTTAAGCCTACAGCAAACAAAATAGTTGGTGCTTATTAATTACTTAAACCAAAAGCCATGTGTCACTGTAAATAATAGGAAATGAAGCTAAGCAGCGATAGAAAAAGAAATATAAATAAATTTTGTATTTTTATTATTCAACAAACTTTGTAGGCATAAAGATGATTTTTACAACTTCCACAACTAATTTTTAATATTAAGCTAAGCTAAGCTATATTTTTTACGAGCCTGCTCGACGCACTTGCTGCTGCTATTGTTGTTTGTTGTCGTTGTTGTTGTTTCTTGCCTTTGTTGTACTTCTTCGTACAACAACCTTTTAGCAACCTTTTATGTCTGTATTTTTACGATGTCACTAACATTTGTCAGACTTTCTTGAACCGCAGCAACTTTTGAACTTGCACGCCAGACTTGGCGACAACTGGCCATAAAATGCATATGCCACAATGCCACATTGTCTAATTATAAAAAGTCGATTTCCTGCTTAGCTTGCAACGCCCACACGTGGCCGTCGAATGCATTTCCATTGTGACTGCCAGAAATCGTCTTAAAGAGATCCCCGCATGCGTTTTAATCGCTTTTCTTCTACTATATGATGGTTTAATGCTGCCTTGTCGTGTGATTTCGTTTTGGTTTTTGGCTCTATTTTTTTATGGCACTCTCAACTGTTCGTGCTACATTTTGTAGCACGCCAAGCTTAGTGAATTATCGGCTGTGCACACCTGCAACAACTGCAGGCAATGCGCTCGCCCACCTGCCACAGACCTTCCCATGAGTCGCGTGTGGACTCTTGCGGAGCCGACTTCAATATCAACAATGTCTGCGAAAAGTTCAATGATTTGACTTTTTTATTTACGCCTCAAAGCGATTCAAACAATTACATGGTAATAAATTAAGTAGAATTGCTTTCGCTAAACACGCTTGTGACTTTATTCCTAGCTATGTATTTATGCTTAATACTTGGTTGTATATTGTTCTAATACGTTTAATTGTTTATTGCTAACATTCGCTTTTTGTACAAAACGTTTGCGCACACATATCACGCATACGCCGCATTGTTCCATATCTCACACACACACACTCGCACACACACTCGCACACACACACGCCCTTGCACAATAATTTTCCCGGCAACCGGCCCGCTTCTTAGAACCCTATATACTAGAAGTATGTATATTTGTTGTTTTGCTTCAGTTTGATTTTGTTGTTTTTGCAGGATGTTTTGGAAAAGCGCTTGATCGAAGTTGAAGGCGCGCTGCTGCGTTTGCAGGAGCAGTTCCATAAAGTGAGTATCCACAAGATACATTTATTAGTATCCATATAGAGAGTACGAGTATGTTTGCCTCAAGCAGTAGACGGCAATTGAAACGTTATGGCATGCACGCCGGATATTGGCACCAAAACTTATCCAGCAAGCAAAATTCTTTGCTCCACATTCGAGTCCATTATGGCAAGCATTTTAATTTCCTGTGACGGACACTGCGGTTATTCTGAGGATGTGTGTGTGTGTGTGTGTGCGTGCGTGTATATATGTATGTGTTTGTGCTTTTTGGGGTATTAAGTTCAACTTGCTTCACATGTCTACCCGCCTGGGCTGCCCTTGCAACTGCTGTTGCTGCTGCGGCTGCCCATTTGGCATTGCGTCCAGTTCTGCTGGACGCGCTGTAGGCGTTGCTTTGGGCCATTAATCGTGCCGTTGGCATTTCGCTTACAGCCATTTGCGCTCTGTGGTTTATGTGGTCGGCTATAACGACAAACACTCACACATAAGCACTACACAAACAGTTGAGTTGAGCTGAGCTGAGCTGAGTTTCCAGGCTTTGCATATCGTGGGACCCGACACAGCAAGCGAATGGCCACAAATGTTACAAGCAAGGTCGCCAGGTCGGTAATTAAAAGTTACAAGTTTAAATTACACACCAATACACACGGGAGTCCGAAAATGAAATTTTCAAAACAAGCTCAAAAGCCATGCCTACAGAGTCCGACCACAATTTGCTGGGAGGTACCAAGCTTTCCAGCATATGAAATGACAATTTATTTCTAATGCTTCAAATATTTTAAATCCGATTAATATATAACTATTTCAATCATTTGATATAGAAAACATGCATTAGAAATATCCAAATACTTGCTTTATTTAATTGAAGCCAACGAATATTAAAGCGAAGTCTAAAACAAAATGGTAGCTAGGTTTTAAATATCGTTGTTATTGAAAGTTATTACTTATTAGTACCAGAGCAGAGGAAGATTTTGGAAGAAGCACGCTAGAATTTAAGCAAATCTCAAGATTCTTCAAAAGAAGATTGTGGAAGAAACACTCTAGAATTTCAGAAAATCTCAAGATTCTTCAAAAGAATTTTTAGCAGAACAAGCTAGAATTTCAGAAAATCTCAAGATTCTTCAAAAGAATATTTAGAAGAACAAGCTAGAACTTAAGCAAATCTTGCAGAAAACCAAGCTCGAATGTATTTAATTTATTTATCTATTTATCGACGAATAATAAATTAAAAAGTAAACAAAACCCTAAAAAATATACAATTTTCACACAAAAAAAAGTGAGTTCAGGTCTAGTGCAGTGAATGCTTTTTTTTTGTCTTTAGAGTGTTAATGTTTCGAGAATGATTTTGAAGAAAGATCATCCTGCTTAGGAATAGAATTTTCAGCTATTTGGATTAAATGAAGTATGTTTAAAGTAGTTTTCTCATGGATGCCATTATCAAAACTTAACCAAATTGAAATTGGATCCTTCGGGAAGCACCAGCTTTCAAATGGAGAAAGAATCATTCAAATCAGTCCACTTAGTCGTGTGCTGAGGTAACAAACGTTAAAAAAAAGTAGAGACCCTATAAACCCTATAAAATTACAAGAATACTTGCAAGTATGTATATAATTAGAATCTGTATTTACGACAGTTATAACTTCAATGATTCTTTCATACTACAAGTATCTGTTGAGCATTCTTAGGAAATGATTTTGGAGAGATATTCGTTGATGAATTTATAAGCCATGCGAACACATAGCCCCAAGTTAATTTGCTTTCATTCCACCTATTTAATGTCTGCCGCTGACCCTCCAAAGTGGAGTTGCCTTTACTCCTTACCTTATACTCGTATGTGTCCATCAAATCTAGAAGTAAATCTAAACTGCCATCTAAGATACATAATCGTCAAGCTGAGCTTCTAGTTAACCCAAGTTTAACGGCCGGAAGTCTGCTCCCAGCATACGCATTTCCGGCTTTAGGTAATTGAATTTGATAACAAGAGCACACCAGAATTGAAGACAACACCCTGTTCTGGCCCAAAAATAAATGGGCAACGAGTTAAACGCGTCGAGTTTATGGTGTGAAAAGGCACAGCAGGCGAATCTTTCTAAATAGCTGGCCCAATGTCTACGACTGATGCTCTAGTGCTTATATGGCCGATGATTTCCGCAACGGAATTGCTGACGACCGCCGCCCCCATCCCTCACAGGAAACAGCGAAGACAAAAACATGGAAGGCGTAAGGCACAAAGTACAAAGTACATTCATTTTTGGGCAAAGTCTGATTTTATTTTCTTTTCTTCTGCGACGTTGTCGCCATTCCGTCCTCCTCGTTGAGTTGTCAATGCGGTGCCTGTGAAGCGCAGCAGGCCAGACGGAAGCGGCAACGTTTGCGGCAGGCAAAGGCGCAAATTTATGACACGGCCAGGGCCAGGGCAGGGCCAGGACTGCTCCTTATCACTCCAGAAAAGGCAACACTGTCGCACCATTGCCAAGCCTCATGCATGGGAATCCGATTACGCGATGTGGCCCTGCTCGGGCAGTATGCGAATTTTTCTTTTTCCCACTTGCTCCTCGTTCGACATTTCTGGTGGTTGCATGAGCTACAAGCTAACGTATCCTTTGCGTCCGCCCTTCGACAATATTTGTGCACTTTATCTGTCTGTAAATAACGATTAACTATGTTGCTGCCGCAGTCACCGTTGCCGCCCACTGCGGCTGTTGTCCTTCGTATTCACTTAGTCTATGTCTCGCGCCCCCTCTCCCCCAAATGGCGCTGCCTCCGCCCCATCCTTGCCACGCCCGGTGGGTGTGTGTGCTTTATTGTTATTGGCATATCAGTAGCTCGTCGAGTTTTCGGCTTGTACGAGTATTTGTGTTTGTGCTTTTGCTTGTCAGCAATCCAGCAACAGCAACAACAACAACAGCTACAACAACATCAACAATGACAAGTCAGCCAAAAGTGTGAATGTTGCAAAAGTGGGTGAGTGGGTGAGTGCCTCTGGCTCTCTGGCTGCCATGTGGCATGCAATAAATGGCACGATTCAATGAATATCTATCTTCTGCTTCGCCATGCTCTTATCATCTGTTTCTAATTTGGCAAAGTTACAGCTCAAGGAACAGGAACAGAAGCAGCAGCAGCAGCAGCAGTGGCAGTGGGAGTGGGAATGGGAGCAGGAGCTGGCTATGAGCAGAGCATTTTAGCAAATGGCCATGCTTGAGTGAATTATACGACAGCCACAAATAATGAGCCCCACACCGAACATTGGCGTTATATAGACCGACTGACGACCGTCAAGTTTTTTGTAATCAACTGTAATTGATTCGCCATTTTCATCGGCCCGAGCATCGGATTTCAGCTCATAACCACAGCCACTCGTAAATGGGGATAGGGATTGTTATTTTATGCAAAGCTCTTCGCGCTAGAACTGACAGTCAGTCAACCAGCTTAGCAAATTGTCAGTCTACCGCTGGGTGAGCCAGCCAACCACAAGTCGGGACCGCAAAGCAAATGTTTGTAAACAAATAGATTGACTGTCATTTAATTAGTGGAAAGTTGGCTAGACTTTGCGCCAAGGAAATGGATTCGAAGATTGGTTAGCAAATCGAACAGAGAGAGGAAGATGCTTAGACTACACTTTAATCAGATTATAGTATGGGTGCTATCAAGTTTATACTCGCATGCACTTCCTGAATCATGTGCCATTTTACTTTACTTTCTAGGGTAGGTTTTATCTCGATCCATATCAATAGCCAGAAGTGGTGCAATAATCGTGAAATCATTAACTTCTCAAGCATATACATGGTAATCATTAAAATATATGCAGAATAATAAATAGTATATAAAATTAAGTATATAACAAGACTGAGAAGAAACTTTTCAAAAACAGCAAGACAAAACAGTTTAGACATTTTCTTCCGTCTGTCTGGGATTTCAGAAACGGTTGAACAATTATTATTAAGAAAACTTGGTAGATATACGTTTGAAATTCCCATTCCCCAGCTACAGAATTTCGTCAATATTCTCCACAATTCCCAAAAGTACATAAACTTACCTTTTACACCTAATTTTAATTGAATTCTTAACTTCTCTTTCATCCAAATCTGTTCATCCTAAGAAAAGCTATTAGAGAATGATTTGTTTACGCCCGCAAACTACAGCAGCGGGTTCCTATTTTTTCTATTTTTGCTTCTGCTATGCGCAGTTTTTTTGGGCCAAGGGGTGCAGAGTATTTCATGTCCGAACAGTCGGAATTATTAATTTCTCTCCTGTTTTTTTTCACTCACATTCTAGAAAGAAGATTGCCATCGATCTTTGAGAAACTAAAACTAACTAAAGCTAATTCAAATATTCTAACAGATTTAAAAAAAAAAAATAATAAAAAACTACTATTTTGGTAAGCTTACAATCTTCTTACACATTCTTACTGTTTAAGCTTATTAGAGAGCTCTCCGCTTCGCCATTCTCTACAGTCTCTGTCATATCAAAGAAACTTACAATTCTATGCAGAGCTGCCTTAGCCGCCATGAAAGGCATTGTCTGCGTGCTGCAAAGCTAAACATTTCCACCAGCGACTTCCCGTCTCCTTTCCCAACCTCAGTTTTCTCGAAAGTGGTAAGCACTTGAAGGCCGGGCTCTTAACCCTGCTCAAATTGCTGACAGCTGTTGCTGTTTGGCTATTTTGTTGCAGCAGCCGAGCCGAAGTGGGCTGCCAATGGGAACTCCGACTGGACTCCCTCACCTCTCCGCCTGATGTGACATTTAATCCTTTTGCTTTATCCAAGCACCATGAGGTTGGTTTTGTTAATTTGGATCTTTTTTCCACTGACAGACAGCTGTGTCCGCCTAAAGCCCAGCGACATGAAAAATTCTCAAATATTTATACATGAAATTAGAAATGCCTGCCCAGGCACAAACAAACAAACCAACAGCAACAAAAAACGGACAAGCAAACAAATAAATGAATCACTGAATGAATGAATGAACGAACGAGGCAAGAGCAAGAGCAAGTGTTAAAAAAT